TTTAACAGCCTCGAACGCCTCAGGAATCAAAATTTTCCAGCCGCCATTTCCAATAATTTAAGCATTATTTTCCCGGAAGAAACCTGAATAAGGCAAAGGCAACGAAATTTGCAGAGGCCGCTGCAGCCCAGAGAAGAAAACTAGAACTCTGCAAGCAGCCGCGATCACGTGATCAGTCTCGCGTCGCTGTGGTAAGGATCAATTAAGGGCGTAACCCCTGCTAGCAGTGAGCTAGAGTACAAGTAGCGAGCGCGCCAATGGCAGGCTATCGATCGGCCTACGGGTGGCGAAGCATACTGACAGGTAGTCAATCAATAATTTAAAACTAAAGCTACAATCAGCCGCTGGGTCACAAACTAATTGTATCGCTACCCACGCCAGGAAAGAAGCTGATTGGCCCGATGGACATAGTTTACACGTGTCTGTTGCTCTAAATATGTCGTACCTTTTACACTCAAAGACTTTTGCTTTTGCCCTCTTCTTGTCGTGTTCTTCCTTGGGGATTCACACAAGACGTGATTAGGCGGTGACATCTCAGCTTTGGCTACCGTTACAACAACCCCTTTCTCTCTCGCTTCCCCGGATGACCAACAGCCGCTCTGCCCTTTGTCCCCTTCTACTTACGCTTGACAAGTTTTCATTGTAACCAGAACTGCCTTGCTTCAATAATTGCCTTCCCCCTCCTCCTCGTACCCTCACCACGCGCATCCGTATCGTATACCAAGACCTTAGGCTCTATTTACCTCCTAGGTCGATACTTAATTGGGCAGTTTGTTTTACCTTATTAATAAACAATGACCATATGCAGTTGCGTAAATGTCACAAAATTCTATGACGTCATGCAATTACACAAGCCTCTTTGTCATTGCTTTGTTCAAAAAGGGTGGCCTAGGAACGGCGACGATCGCGTGAACTACTTTTAGAAGACTTGCACAGCATCTACAACACTCCCTCTTCCCCCATCAACTTGAGCCCGGTGTCAAGACACAGTCAAGAAGACCGGAGGTGTAATTGGGCGCATGTGGCTAGCGCGGCCGAAGTCGCCCCTTGGCCTGCCACCACGCTCTCCGCATTTTCAGCATTTTTAGCGGCGCGCAATCCTTATAATGACTGTCGTATCCACAAGTGGTCCCCTGTTGGTCCAGCGCATCTACCAGGTGGTTTGTTTAGGTGAGCTAATCACGAGAGAGAGCGTGCTTTTACTCAGACAAGCACTTTAAGCAAGTCAACACAAGTGTTTGAGGGTAAAAGGTACAACATATTTAGGCCAACAAACACCTGTAAAGCTATGTCCATCGAGCCAATTAGCTTCTGCTCTGGCTTGGTTACCGGAACGATTGGCTGCGACTCAGCGGGTGAATGCAGTTTAAATGTTGGATTATTGATTGATGATTGCCTGTATGCGTTCGTCTCGTGTAGGCCGATCGATAGTCTGCTGTGAGTGCGGCTGCTTGCTGCATGCACCCAACACAACCAAAAGCATGTTTTTCCTGATTCGCGATTGTAACTCTTAGGCACATCATCCACACAGCGCTCTTTTTCGTTCGGCCAATCACTATCCCACCTCCCAAGGCAGAGACGGTTCTAGTAAAGCATAAGCCTTGCTATTGTACGCCATCCCAAATTGTGTGTATAGATTCATGTGTACTTGCGGATGCAAGTACATCGGGCGTACGCAAAGGCAATTGACGGCCAGGGCCGCTGAACATTTACTTTTTCAAGCAAGAAAACAAAGTACCAAGTGTTCGATTACAAAAACACCTGCTATACAGTGGTCACTCTGTTGACCTCAAAACATCTTTCCGAGTACCTGTTCGGGTACGAAGAAATCTGATCCTGCACTACATGGAAGCAGCCTATATACGATGCGAGGAACTCGACCTATGTAAGCAGTTAGACCATGTGGCCAATCTCTGATTATCATGGTAATCTCAAGCCCAGACTTAATCACACTTTGATTTGTGCTGACTACCTTGCCCGCCCTATTCCTCTCCTATATTCAAGTCTAAATGCAAAATTATTATTGATTATTCCCCGTGTTGAACATTGATCTTTCTGGTATGTATTGATTTATGTGCAAATTCAAATTGTTGTGCACTCGAATTCGTTATCTATGCCGTGCAAAGATAGATTTCAGTTGAAAAGCCGTCGCGTAATTGGCTGGTGCCAATAAATCCTACTGCTAATGCATGTTTTAAATTCATACTCGGGAAAAATGTGTCAAACGAGAGGAATAAGTGTAATGCAGTGTCGCGTCCTTCCTCAATGGTCTAGGATACCCTTGCAGTGAGAAAAGAAGTCCGAAGATAAACCACGGTTATATGGCGCACCTCCTTTTTGCTCACGAAAGAGAAATCTGGTTTATCAACGCAGAGGGTGTACATACGTCAAAATCACGTTATAAAGAGATCAGACGCTATAGTTCATCGGTGACTCAAGGCGAAAACAGTTATCCAAGAAGACGCACAACACAGACTTAAAGCTTCAGATAGGGAGGCAAACAGTTTGCGGCATCAATGAAGAAAAGAAATAGCCAAACATGGTCTATGCCGCAAGTCGATATATAAATACAATAGGGAGACCGATAGGGTATCGGAACGTACATGAGAAATAAATCACAGATATGGAGCTAGAATGATAGAAGTTTAACAAATATCTTGATCTTCTGCCTCGTCTCCACCTTCATTTTCCGGCCCTTTCTCCGGTGCCTTGGAGTCACCGAATGAATCAGCCGAGGGGAACTTTATGGACCGCACCAGTTTCGCATACTGTGGGAGGACAACAAAAATAGAATAAATATCTACTGATACGATATGAGTAGTTATACTTATTATGATAAACGTTCAGGTGCGTTAGGCATTGAACCATTTGGCATTACCTCAGTCTCCATCGCTCTAAACGAGGGCATTTTGACTACGTTAGCTGCACCTGCTGCATCCATACTGTCGTAAACATGAAGAAGGGTGGCTGCGGGTTCTGCATCGTCGGTCTGCCCGAAACGATAGCGCCTAGAAGGAGAAAAGCAAAAAAATGCAGGAGCAGAGGTTTTTATTTCCACAATTCATGAGATGTGAAATAGAATGCTGAAATGTGAGCTTAGTAGGAAAATGTTATGTAGGTAAACTTCTAATACCTACTATTATTCACCATAACCTCCAGGAATACCAGTCGAATTGAGAGGCCGGCTGTTAACTCACTCTTTAAGAAATAACTAGTCAAATAGTATGCATTTTTCTGACCTAATGTTAATGGCCGCATCAATTAATATCTATTTTATGAAAGACATGCAAAAAATCTTTTGTACTCGCTTGATGGCAAAATACGAATCTTTCGATTTTTATACCTGATAAAGGGTATAAGTTGACTTACGAAAGTTTGTGAATACCAGATTTTAAAGACCCTAACATGCTAGTCCAAACAGCATCCTATGTTTTCATATACTAATGCAGATTATGAACTAAAGAAACTGGCCCATATGAAATACAAAAGTTTAGGAGACACATATGGCGTATTTCTAGCAGCGTAGAGAAAAAAGATTTCTCTTACGCGGAAAGTATAGATAACGCACTTCTGAAACCCTAAGCACAAGTGCAGGTCGGATTAGAAATTATTCTGCAAGTAAAAACAGTTTAAAACCTGAAGGTATTCTCTGTTTAAACATAACATTACAGGAGAATGTAATTTGTCATTAAGCGAGTATAAAGAAGACTTTTTTGCATGTTTTTTTAAAATAAAATAGATACTTACCTATGAGGACATGGAAAATTAATGGGACAAATTTATACTCCTTAGCTAGTCATTTTTACCGAGTGTGGTTTTTGCCAGTGACCGGAAAGGGGCTCATTGAAAGCCGGCATCCTGATTTCACTGACATATATTGGGACGATAATTAGTATTACAAGGACGAGGAAGAAGGCATATCGAGCACCAGATCAATTGATTTATTGTTCTGA